GAATTTATACTTTAATCTCAGTTGGGGATTTATTTAAATTATTAAACTCTATTCATTTTGGACCCAATTGATTGAATTGTAACCCATTAGTAACCATGAATTATTGTTGCAGTTTTTATTATTATTTGATTACCATAAACGAGTTGTGAATATTTACGGTGTATATCATTAAACGAAATATATTTTGTGATGAGAAAATATTATATTTACTTTTGTCATTAAAGATATTGAAATGTATTTTTAATTGATATATATATATATAGGTGTATATATATAGTTAGATATTTGTTTAGGAAATATCTATTAAAGTGACCAAATGGAATATTTTGTCCAACTTTTGGGAATTCTAGGAAATCTTGCCATGAAGAAAGAAGAGAAAAGGGCTCCAATGTTAGTTTTTTTTGGGTTTGATCTAGTGTAAGTCATTTTTTACCCCTAGTGCTTTGGATCAAAACGTAGAGGGCGGAAAAGACGTCGTTTGGCTCTAAAAAAATTTAATTTCTGTTGCCGAAAAATTTAAAAGCTTCTTGGCTTGAGGTAGGGGTTTTTCCTACACTTCTTTATGTACTTTTACTTGATTATATGGAGCTTAGAGTTGTATATAATTTAATTAGAATTTTTGAAAAATTTGTGATTTATTTGCTTAAAAGAGAAATTTTGAGAAAAATAAAGAGTTGATGCCCAAATTGCGAAAGTATAAACTTGGAATATGTTTGTAAGGTTATGAAAGAGTTATGTTTGAAATTTGAACAAAAACGGACTTTTTGATTCGATCGAATTTGAAATTTTTACCGTTTTGCGACCAAAAGAGCATTTTTAAAGAAAACAAAAGAATTACGTTTAACTTTTAGGGCTTTTGATCAAAATAGGATGTCATAGTTGAATAATGCTTGGAAAATGAGTTTGGGAAGAAAATGATATTTTCTTGGGTATTAACGGTATTATTTTGCTTAATGTATCTGTTGGAATAAAAGTGACACGATTAGAAATAGAACTTGAGAGGTTACCGGACGTGATTGTGATATGAAAACTAGTATAGTTGTTCATATTTGATGAGATATGGAATAGATAGTATTTATTGGAATTTTTGGATTTTAATTGTTTAAATATCTGTTTAGAAATATTTGTTTTGAGCTACCGGTGGAGGATAGCCATGATTGTTGTAGAAATGCATGAGACTTAGGTAAATTGAACCACATTACTCATTTGTTGCATTGGATATTGCATTACATTCATTTCATTGGAAATGTATCTGTTTTTTAGAAATGTTTGGAAATGTATTTATTTGCAAAAAGATGAATACTTGGTGAATCTGGGTAGGGAGTGTGGAACCGCACGGTTAAGTGTCGAGCCTTCCAGTTTACTGGTAAAAATGACAGTGGTAGTGCATTAGGGCCTACTTGCAGACATTCACCTAGAGATTCACAGAGCCTGTATTCATGTAACAGATATGGTTTAAAATAGAAATGGGTTTATATCTGTTGTTGCATCTCAGCATTGCATGCTTTATAAAAAGAGAGATAAACTATTTTATCATGAGCATGGCATGAGCATACTCCTCTTTAGTCTTGTCATGGTCCATATGTTGTGTAGTATATCTCTACTGGGCTATGGCTCACCCTATAAGGGAAACCATTTCAGGTATAGGTGATATGCCTCTGCCAAGGCATTGACTTGGGAGGACTCAGAGTTGAGGGTTCATTTTTGTTTTATGGTTATTTGTTGAATGTAAGCCCGGGGCTGTATTTGCATTGAGTTGAAACTCCATTTTGTTTAATCAAGAATGTTCTTGGATAAATTTGTAAGCTTGTAGGGCACTTATTATCTGTTTCGTTTCCATTTCATACTTGTTGTAAATGCATGCTTGGGATTGGAACTGAGGCATTGAGATGTGAACAGCATGTATTTGGCATTTGGGATTTAATGGAAATGGATGTATGGAATAGTTAGCTATATATATGTATTTGTCTATCAAGTGGGTTTTGTTGCATAAATAGATATATCTTGCCCAATTTTCGGGACGTTACACAAACTGTTGTCCTTTACTTCTTATTCTTCTTTCATCCCTACGTGTATGACTACCATGAAACCTCCTAGGTAGTTGGGGTCAAGGTGCAACAAGTTCTCCAATATCATAATGCTTCCCAACATCACATACTCCAAATCCTCAAATAAAATCTTCACTTCTTGCACCAAAACTAGTACCATCACCATCATTACCACCATTGTCGCCACCACCACCACCGTCACCGTGAGAAGTGCCTTCACCATCACCATCATCACCTTCTCCATCAGATGGTGTTAAACCACCACTATTATCACTTTGAGTTGGAGTAGGAGTTGAGCTTTGAGAAGTGCGTCGAGGTTGATATCTATGGCTGCCACCACCATCGTTTCCATCGCTGCCATCGCCGCCATCGCCATTGCTGTCGTTGCCACCACCACCATCATCATCTGAGACCAAATCTAGCCATTCAGAATTATCCACACCATCTAGCAAAGGATTTTCCCTTTCTTCTATCCATGGACTTATTGGATCATCATCTTCTTCAAATTAA